CATGAGTAGGGGACATTCCCTTAAAATTAAAGCCTTCAGCTTTTCCCGTTCCCAAGTTAGCAGCTTCCCCACCAAAATTTTCACGTGTCCGTATTTGAGTACCAAGTGCTTCTAAACAAGTGATTTTGCTCGTACATGAGTAAGAAATATTGCCCTAAAGTTTCAGCTTTCTAGCTTCTCCCGTTCCCGGATTATTAATTTCCACGCCAAAACTTTCACATATAGCGTACGCGAGTCTCGGGCGCCTCTAAACAACTGATTTTGGTTGTACATGAGTAAGAAACATTCCCAGAAAGTTTCAGCTTCCCAGATTTTCCCGTTCCCGAGTTAGTAATTTTCGCACCAAAATTTCCACGCGCCCGTACATGGGCCCGGGCGCTTCTAAACACCTCATTTTCCTCGTACATGAGTAGGGAACGCTGCCATAAAGCTTCAGCTTTCTAGCTTTCCCCGTTTCAGGGTTAGTAATCTTCGCGCCAAAATTTTCACGTGCCCGTAGGTGAGCCCCGAGCGGTCCTAAGCAGTTGAGTTTGAAAACTTTTGGTTGTGCGTAAGGAACATTCCCCCAAATTTCAACTTTCTAGCTTTTCTCATTCCCGAGTTATGAGTTTTCCCGCCACAATTTTCACGTGCCCGCACTTAAGTTCCGGGCAGTCCTAGATAGCTAAATCTGAAATCTTTTTATCATACACGAGTAGGGAACATCCCTCTGTGGTTTGAGCTTTCTAGCTAGCAATTTTCTCGCCAAAACTTTCACGTGTTCGTACACGGGGCCCAGACATGCGTGAAGGTTGATACCGGGTCCTGGGGTGGCACTTGGATGGAGAACATACTGGCAAAATTTCAGCATCAAGGCTTGCGTGGTTAGCGATTTGAAATACACGGACAAACGAACACACACACACACACACACACACACACACACATTGACAGGGTCGTTACAGCATGCCTTTTTGCTGCCTGTTGCAGCGATCTGGCGTATACGGCAAAAACGCATAAAAACCCAGGCTGGAACGCACCAAGCGAGCAGGTGCGGTCATGCATTTTTGCACCAAACTTGAATTAGGTCAACTGTATGAACGGTTGTTTCTTCACACCTCCCATGTGCGCTCAGTACCGTAAATCATCGTAATCTTTGCATAAAAGGAAACAGATAATTCCCGCTTAGCGTCCGTTTTTTGAAAATGACCCAGTTATTCAATGGGTAATTTTCCCGCCAAAAATTTGAGTGCCCGTACAAGAACCAAGCGTAAGTGGAGGCTGAATTTGAAACCTTTAAGATGTATCTGAACGGGGAATATTCTCCTAAAATCTCAGCTTTCCAGCTTTTCTAGTTACCGAATCAGCTATTTCCCGCCAAAAAGCTTCACGGGGCCAAACATGAGTCCTACGCATGCCTGAGAGCTGAATTTGATAACTTTAAGTTGCACATGGGCTAGGAACATCCCCTCAAAATATCAGCCT